GGGTGGTTATTACAGTTAAATGGCCTTTTCTGTAAGTTCCTTTGAAATCAGGATTCTGGTGGTATTAAAGCAGTCATGTGACATGCTCTTCCCTCAGAAAATGAGGGTGACACGCGCGGCCTAGCTCCTCTTGCTTGCCTTCCCAGGTTCCCCTGGGCCACCAGGAAACGTGCAGGTGGAAGAGATTACAGACACAACAGCCCAGGTGTCCTGGACAGAAGGCACCGACAACCACAGCCCCATCACCTCCTATTCCGTCCAGGCGAGGACCCCTTTCTCCGTGGGCTGGCAGGCCGCCAGGACAGGTAAGGGGTCAGGCCGATGCCGTGGGTACCTGTCCGTGGATTGCCAGTCGGCACCGACCCACGCAGACTCTGACCTCTCTGACTTGCTCTTTGTAGTGCCCGAGGTCATTGATGGGAATACACACACTGCCACTGTAGTCGAGTTAAACCCGTGGGTGGAGTACGAATTTCGGGTTGTAGCCAGCAACAGACTCGGAGGTGGAGAACCCAGTTTGCCCTCAGAAAAAGTAAGAACTGAAGAGGCAGGTTAGTGTTCCGTTTCCTGAGTAACGAGGGGGTTGGCAGGTTTCCCCGGGTGCGAGCTTGCATTCCCCTCGGCCTTGGTCTCCCGGCCAGCAGGGGACCGGCCTCAGTGACCCATCGGGGCAACGAGCCCCCGTCTTTAATAGCAGGACTGGCCCTTCGGCACTTGTCAGAAAGACTCCCTGGAACGTGCCTCAGATGTACTCTGGCACGTCCAGCGTCCAGGGCATTGTCGGCGTCCACTAATGCATGTTGAGTGGGTCTGGTGTTGTCACTTCAGGTGATAATGACTCGCTGACCTCGTCACCCTGTTAGCAGGCAAGTGCTGTTTTCATTTGTAAGGAGCCCCGACAGACTGTGGGATAATGATGACTCGGAGTCGGCGGCCAGGAAACCTCGCTCTGCCGCCGGCCCCCGAATGATTCAAACAAGTGCACGAGGAGGGACATTCGGCCCCTGAGGGTTCAGCCAGGAAAGAACCACTGCTAGAATGCCCCACCTCAGGAAACGATTCAGTGAACCATACGACTGTTTGACAATTCTGAAAACGTCCTGACGTCACAGCTAAAAATAAAAAAGCGTGCATCCTGTCCCACGATCGAGGCATCTGAGGGGACGCAACGGCTCCCTGTCAGATTCTGTAATATGAAGCGATACTCCGTAAATCGTTGTTTTAAACACAGCCCGTGTGTCCATGTCGGATCTAAGCCAGGATCGGAGTGATGGCACCCGTTTCCATAACTTGAACGATGCTGCCTCACTCGGGGCAGCGTAGATAGCACGGGTGCCAGACCTGGATGCTGTGGGCCATGGGGACCATGTCTGCCTGGTGCTCATTCATTTTCTCACCTGGCATGTTAAGGAGCGTCCCCTGTGGCCGAGCACCTCCTGGGGGCGGTGGGTGCCACTGTGAACGAGACTAGCTGCAGGGACCCTGTATTCTAGCCGCGTCCTGGGGCTTTCTCAGCACCGGCTCGCATAGGAGAGAAAGCTGGTGCCTGTGTGAGGGTCAGTAGCTCATCAGGGGCCTCGAGGCTCCCAGGCGGGGCATTTTTATGTAAAGCCACTGTTCTGTCATCCTATTATCATTCCTGGTGAAGCACTTGCCTTGTTGTGCAGATCTTCTGACCGAGTCCACTTTTTTTCTTACAGGTTGAAACCTTGATCATTTCATACAAATGTAAATTATGTACCGATTCCCCCCAAAGATATAGGCAGCGTACCCTTGAACAAGGTGGGGGTTAGGGGCACTGATGCTCATACATTTGACAGTCAGACTCTCAGAAACTGAAGTTGTAGCTCAGTGTCCCCTGGGTTGGTGCCAGGACCCCTGTGAATAAATACGAGGTGCTCAGCCCCCTGTACAGCACGTTGCGGGTCAGTGCGTGTGGCCAGCTCTGCCTCTGTGCATTGCGGACTCCAGACCGCAGATCCAAACCAGGGCAGGTGTTCACTGAGAAAAACACATGCATAAGTGCTGCTCAAGGGCCCACTGCGTACATGCATGGAGAGATATGTTGCATATATGCAGACATGTGTGCAAAATGTGCCTGTGATCAGATTATGTCAATTATGGAAAACGAGCAAGATTGCGTCTTCTTTCAGGCACATGTTGCCAAAGGCAGGTAGGGTTTCACCTCTGTCTCTCTAACCTCACAGTCCCTGAAGTGCCTCCTTCCGAGGTCAGTGGGGGAGGCGGAAGCCGGTCCGAACTGGTGATAACTTGGGAGGTGAGTGTCTGGGTCGCATCTCCCTTCAGGGCCCCTGCTGTTCCCACAATCCTTGGGGCCTCAAGTGGGGGTCTCCTAGGGGGCTGGTGCTGGGATCCTGCTGTTCTCACAGCCCTCGGAACCTAGAGGGGTGCTAAGTGGGTTGTTGGGGTCCTTCTGGCAGCCAGTGCTTTTTTAAAATAATACATTTTTATTAATTTCAGAGAGGAAGGGAGAGGGAGAGAAAGATGGAAATATTGATGAGAGAAAACATCATCTATTGACTGCCTCCTGCACGCCCCCTACTGGGGATGGAGCCCGCAATCCAGGCATGTGCCCTGACAGGGAATTAAACCATGACCTTCTGGTTCATAGCTCAACGCTCAACCACTGAGCCATGCCAGCCAGGAGGCTAATGCTTTTAAAGCTCAGGCCGGCCAATCACTGTGCCTAGCGTTTTTCATATTTTTAAAAATTGCATCGTTGTGACATTTTACAGACAGAACACTAAGGCGAAGAGTTATTAAATAGTTTGCCCGAGGTCATCGGGCTGGGAAACCCAGGGGGAGAGTCCGGTCCTGGCTGCTGACCCCCAGCTGCCTGTGCAGCGGCTGGAGCAGCTGTGCCCTCACTGGTGAGGGACCCCCCCCACCCATGCGCCCCTGATGCCGCAGGTGCTGGCTGCCTGGCCCTCCTCTCAGCTGCTGCTGGATGCCATAATTAGGAACAGTTTTAATGAGCACATTTAAAGCAGAAGCACTAGCATTGTCTCTATGATTTCAAGACGTTGAAAAAACATTAAAAGTCGAGATGTGATGGGATGGGAGTAGGAGTTTTTGATGTGACCCAAATGCAGCTTTGAGTGGGTACGTGATTTTATTTCCCGTTCTTCTAGTTTTACGGTTTTGTACTTAATTGTCATATCCATGTGTGAAATCTGTTCCTAAAGTCAACATGAGGGATAAGGTGATATTGATTTGGCATAGGAGAGGTGTTTATTCCACGTACTATTATTGTTATTATCATCATCATTCTTTTTTTTTAATGTATTTTATTGATTTTTTAGAGAGGAAGAGAGAGAGATAGAGAGTTAGAAACATCGATGAGAGAGAAACATCGATCAGCTGCCTCCTGCACATCTCCTACTGGGGATGTGTCCGCAACCCAGGTACATGCCCCTGACCGGAATCGAACCTGGGACCTTTCAGTCCGCAAGCCGACGCTCTATCCACTGAGCCAAACCGGTTTTGGCTATCATCATCATTCTTATTATCATCATTCAGAACTCAGGCAGAAAACATCATGCTCAAACACATGAACAGCTTTGGAAAGTTTCAGAATGAAAGTTCCCACGCGGGTCCCCCTGTGCTTCCCCTTAGCTTAGCACCCAGGCAATACTGTGTGGGTCCCTCCCTGGTGCGCCCCCTGCAGGCCGGACTGGCAGCAGCACGCACCCAGCCTGGGTCCCCTAGGTGACCGGCATTCTCTCTCTCACAGCCGGTCCCGGAGGAGCTGCAGAACGGCGAGGGCTTTGGGTACGTGGTCGCCTTCCGCCCCCTGGGAGTCACCACCTGGATCCAGACCGTGGTCACGTCCCCCGACGCCCCGCGATACGTGTTCAGGAACGAGAGCATCGTGCCCTTTGCGCCGTACCAAGTGAAAGTGGGCGTTTACAACAACAAGGGCGAAGGGCCGTTCAGCCCCGTGGCCACCGTGCTCTCGGCAGAGGAAGGTACGCACAGGGCGGTTGTGCTTCGGGTCCAACCGGAGCCCCAGCCCCGGTTTGGGAGTTCTCTGTGGCCTCAGATATAGCTCTTCACCGAGCCACGGTCGGGGGCATGGTGAGGTGCCCACGTGACGTGGAGACTCGGCCGACGGTGAACGGACGTCAGGGTCGGTCACAGGTCTGTTTGTGGGGACATCCTGAGTCCCAGCTGTGACAGCTTCCTCTCGTCCCGTGTGCAGGTTCAGTTCCTGATCAGGGCACATACCCAGGTTTCAGGTCCGGTCCCTGCTTGGGGGTGTACAGGAGACGACTGATCGATGTGTCTCTCTCACATCGATGTTTCTCTATCTCCCTGTCTCCCTCTCCCCCTCCCCCTCCCCCTTCTCTCTCTAACATCAGTAAACATATCCTCAGGTGAGGATTAAAGAAAAAAGACAGTTCCCTATGTTCTCCTGGAAATGTCCTCGTCTCCAGTGTCACAGGTTCCCACGACCGAGCAAGTTGACCCACCGGCGGGGCGGCCAGGGCGTGACCGTGGGGAGGTGTGGTGGTGCCACTTCGAGCTGTGGCCCAATGCATCCCATCCCACCGGGACTGGGCCCCATCCTGTTGATCGGCCTTTCTTTATGCCTTCTGCCCCCCCAGGTACTGTCCCTGCTTAGAGAATAGCGCTGACGGAGGAGACCCCTGTGACATTGCGGGGTCATAGGTCAGGAGCCACGGAGCGCTGTTTCCTGAGTTAACAGGTTTCCAGTGCTCCCCTCGGCCAGGCATTACCTGGGTTCAGTGTTCCAGGGAGGAGAGACCTGTGGGTGCGGTTATGACTTCTCATTTACACACGAGGAAAGGGAAGCTTGATGGAAGAAATGAGGAAGTGGGCCCAAACCCGTGCAGACGCCCTGAGCCAGGATTTTGACCCGGGGCCTCTGCTCTGAGCTCAGGAAAAAGATTTCACAGGGTCTCCTCTGCGGCCAGTTCCCCAGGCGGCCCGAGCTGCCCTGCCTGAAAGCAGTAAGTCACTCAGGGTTTCTTCCTACCCCAGCCCTCTATCCTCTCCTTTTCTGCTGAGTAGAAAGCAAACATGTATCACAAACATCTTTGCAAAAGAAAGAGCTTTAAGTATTCACAGCCAGACCCCATTTGCAAGCCCTGCTGGGGTTTTCAGGACAAGGGCTGGTCTGGGGTCCCAGGGAGGAGGGATGGCAGCAACCAGGGAGCTCCCGGTGGGGTGGGGGTGGGGGGGTGGCGCCAGAAGAGGGCAGACACGTCTTACCCCTCCCACACTCTCCTGTTCTCATTCTCCTCCACTGAGGACTTGGGTGAAGGCCTCTCTGTTCCTGATGTCAGGAAAGGCTGGTATCTGTCTATGAAAAAGGCGAGGGACTCATTGGAAACATGCTGGGATCTCTCACTGAGTCCAAGGAGCGGGTAAACAGAAAGCCTCAGGGGCGGGGGCGGGGGGCTTCATCAGAGATGCCCTGGGGCCCGGACTGGCTGCCTCGGGCGCCCGGACTGACGGGTAGGTCCCCAGTTCTCCTCGTCTTCCCAAACCAACGCTCACATCCCCAGCAGAAGCATCTCTGAGGCCCAGGCTGGGCCAGGAATCTGTCTCTATTGGTCAGGGCTGTGGTGGAGAGCTGGGTCGGTTAACAAAGAAGTGGATTCTGGGGGAGAAGTCTCCTCTCAGAGCTGTGCCTGAGAGACGGGGGTCCCTGGGGACCCAGGATGCCACCCCCCGTCTCCCCCGGGACTGTCTGTTACACGGGGGACCTGGGACTGTGCATGTGTGTCTACACCTTCCAGAGGACCCACCCTCCACGTGAGTGTGTGAGTGTGCGAGTGTGCGAGGGCCTGGGCCAGAAAAGGTGCTTGCTGAATAACTTCTGGGATGAATGAACTCTGGAGCCCTTGACTTGGCAAGTCACAAAAGGATGATCAGCCCGGCCGGCGTGGCTCAGTGGTTGAGCGTTGACCTATGAACCAGGAGGTCACGGTTCAATTCCCAGTCAGGGCATATGCCCAGGTTGTGGGCTCAATCCTCAATAGTGGGAATGCAGGAGGCAGCTGATCCATGACTCTGTCTCATCATGGGTGTTTCTATCTCTCTCCCTTCCTCTCTCTGAAACAAAAACACATTTTAAAAAAAGAGTAAAAATCAAGAGAGCATGCTCCTTTGATTAGAAGTTCTCTCTGAAGAATAAAAAATTATTTTAAAAAAGAAGAGGAATCAGTAGCATTTGTGGGCACAGGGGTTCCCAGCAGGAGCTGTGGGTGAAGAGAAGGCATGGTGGTGGGTGGAGAGGACAGAGGGGAAGAGGGAAACAAGCTGGGCCAGGAGGGGGGGGCAGGAGCGGGGAGCCCAGGCCACCATGGCCCCTGAGCCAGGAGACACCGTGGCTCTGCTGTCCTCTGTCCCTGAGGAACGGAAGTGGGCCAATGTCTGTTTTCATGACGTGGTTCGTGATGTTAAATAATTTTTACTGAATAGTCTATGAATTTTCAAATGTATTAACCTGCTCTCTGACAGTAAGAACTTCAGTAGAGTTTTAAAATTTCCTGCCAACATTGTATTTTGGTTGGTGTTTCCAAGCAGAACCTACAGCAGCTCCAGCTCACGTCTGGGCCCACAGCCTGTCCTCCTCGGAAATTGAGGTGTCCTGGAGCGCCATCCCGTGGAAGCTGAGCAGTGGCCATCTCCTGGGCTACGAGGTACTTGCTCCCTGAAGCGCCGTCTGGAGGGTGCCACACCCCTCACTCCGTCCCTGTCGTCTTTTTAACAGTGACATCCTTGCTACCGTCTGGCTTTCACTGGCATTTCACCAGTGCGTGGTCCCATGTGAATATCCAGGGATATTGAAATGAACTCAACAAGTTGAATGAAAATAACGTTAGTTGGGGTAGAAAAGGAAAAAAAAATAGCCATCGAAAAGGAACTGGATCCCATGGGCACGGTTTTTAGAAGGCTTGGCCGAGGCACGAGGGTGAGATCGGCCTGTCCGGTTCGCGTTCAGGGGACGTCCATGCCGTTAGGATGGTCCTCAGCTCTCGGTCTTCCTTTCTTGGTGGCCTTGGTATCTGTAGACAAATAACTCCTTTCCTTTGAATGACCTGGTTTATCCAGGTACTGTCTCCTCCTTGAGCCTCCATGGCTCAGAGCCCACTGTGTGCAGCACACAGTAGGCACTTTGCGAATACTTGTCTAAACGATGACATACATCAGGGCGCCCACTTTAGTGAAAGCCGCTGTGCGTGAAGGTGGCCCCTGTCGTGTTTCGGCCCCCAGGTGCGGTACTGGACCAGTGGAGAGGAGGGCTCGCCGCGCAGAGTGAAGGTGGTGGCAGGGGAGACCGTGGCCCGGCTCCACGGGCTGAAGAGCCACCTGGTCTACCACGCAGCCGTCCGGGCTTACAACAGCGCGGGCGCCGGGCCCTTCAGCGCCACGGTGAATGCCACCACCAAGAAGACGCGTAGGTATCTTGCGTGTTGGGTGGGGGGCGGCGGGAGTTTGCATCCGGAATGGCAGCTTCTGTGTGTGTGGGCAGCCAACCCAGCTCAGCCCCTGCAAACACAGAGCCACAGGCATTTTCCCGACCCCCCCATCCCAGGGGAACAGGCACGGCCCCCGTTCGGAAAGCTCGGTGTGAGGTGTTGAGTCAAGTACGTCTGCTTTTCTCTTAAACTGTGACCAACTTACTTGCTTGGGATTTCTGATAAGTGTGAGAAAGTTAACATTCATGTCAAGGAATCAGGTGATTTCTCTTCCTCTCTCTCCTACGTTGTTTGAAAGATGGCAACATAGAGTAAAAGGTTACCCTCAGCAGTGGGTCCAGGAGGGATGGTTTAAACTGGACCAGGCGAAAGCGCTGCCCTGAGCCGAGTCTGTTAGCTGTGCTCGTGGGGACTCATTCCCAGCACCAGGCTGGAGCTAGACCATGGAGCATGTGGGTTTGCAATTAAACTGGAAAGATCATCGTTATATATGTTTGGTATTCCCAACATCTATTGTGAATTGGTAAGATTTAAATATACATCATTACATATTCAAAGCACAGTGTCCATCAAAAGTTCCGATGGCAAAAATATATGCAACAGGTTTATCCGGCTC